AAAACAACAAAACCTCGGTTTTGTGAGCCGTGTGGAGTGAGAAATAGTTTACTTTGGAGTGTCTTGTGTGTTTTAAGGGTATGTCACATAACAATGAAGGAGGTATAGTAAAGGGTGCATTGTCATTTGTTCTTTCAGGCAGTAGTAACATCTAAGGAACACCCTACCAGGTTTAGAGTTCTAGAAGCTGTGGGATTTATAAAAGAAAAAGTAAATTTCCCTCTTCTGGAGGAGCTTGATCTCCATTTGCGAATATAAAATGTACACATCCAGAATGGTTCATGATCACTTAAAAAGCAGCAGACAACTGACATGATAGATGCTGTTGTGATTAACAAAATGTAAATCCATATAAAGCATTACCTTGGTATTAGATCTTATATGGGATTGCATTCAAATGCTTAAGATGAAAACCAGGGTAAAGAAAATTAGCCAAGAAAATCTGAGGACAGCATATTGAATACCCACATGCCATCCCTCCATAAGCCCAACTCAGCTGTTTTCTTTGGCATTGAATAAAATTGCTCTTTTTTCAGTTGATGAAGTGCTAGCTTGTATTTAGGAGTCACAATAAATGAAAAATAATATAGCTTTAAAAGACCATGTCGGGACGCCTGGGTGGCTCTGTCATTAAAGCGTCTGCCTTCGGCTCAGGTCATGATCCCAGGGTCCTGGGATTGAGTCCCACATCGGTCTCCTTGCTCAGTGAGGAGCCTGCTTCTCCCTCTCCCTCTGCTGCTCCCCCTGCTTGTGCTCTCTCTCTCTCTGACAAATAAATAAATAAAAATCTTTTAAAAATAAATAAATAAAAGACCATGTCTACACACATGACATGGCATGGATGAACTTGAGGACATTATGCTAAATGAAATAAGCCAGACACAAAAGGACAAATATCTTATGATTCCTCTTCTAGGAGATACCTAGACTAATCAAATTCGTAGATACAGAGAGTAAAGTGGTGGTCACCAGAGTCTGGGGGAATAGGAAGCGGAGAATTAGTGTTCATTGGGTATGGAGTTTCAGTTTTGGTGGTGAAGAGGTTCTGGAGATGGGGTAGTGTTGATGGTTGCACAACAATGTGAATGTACTTACTGCCACCTAGCTGTATACTTAAAAATGGTCAAAATGGTAAATTTTATGTTATATAAATTTTACCAAAATAAAAAAAAAATGACCGTATTCCCAGATTGTAAAGGTAACCCCAAAAGATGAACTCAAAAAAACAATGTAAGCAGTGGTAACTTTTTGGTAATAAGTAGATTGATTATATGTCGATTTTCAGGGAGAGTATTCATTTGGATGCATACATTTTTAGAAATCAAACTGTTCATAAGTAGGGCTAATTTTTGCTTGTCACATATGAAGGCATGACCTGCCTCCTGTTTTATAGCTAAAGGAGGAGGTCAGGTCCCAAAGAAAAGAATTATTATCCAAGCTTATCCCAAGGAAAGGTCCAAAATCTAACCCCCTTTGCTCACCGGTGGTTCCCTCTTACACAAATATTTACCAGGTGATATCATACCAGTACTCCCTTCATTTTTGCCATGTCCAAGTACCATGTTTTACTGTTACTTGTTTTCTTTGTTGAGAGTTTTTATCATAAACAGATGTTGTACTTTGTCAGATGCTTTTTCTGCATCTACTAAGGTGATCATATGGCTTTTTATCCTTTCTCTTATTGATGTGATATATCACGTTGATTCATTTGCAAGTATTGAACCATCCTTGAATCCCTGGAATAAATCCCACTTGATTGTGGTGAATGACTTATTAATGTATTGTTGGATTTGGTTTGCTAGTATTTCGTTGAAGATTTTTACATCTGTGTTCATCAGGAATATTGGCCTGTAGTTTGTTGTTGTTGTTGTGTCCTTATCTGATTTTGATATCAGGGTAATGCTGGATTCAAATGGATTTAGAAGTTTTCCTTTTCTATTTTTTTGGAATAGTTTGAGAAGAACAGGTATTATCTATTCTGTAAATGTTAGGTAGAATTTGCCTGTGAAGCTATCTGGTCCTGGACTTTTGTTTGTTGGGAGTCTGTTGATTACTGATTCAGTTTCTCTGCTGGTAATCAATCTGTTCAGATTTTTTATTTCTTCCTGTTTCAGTTTTGGTAATTTATATGTTTCTATTTTTTTTTTTTTTTAAGATTTTATTTGACAGAGAGCGAGAGCAGGAACACAAGCAGGGGGAGTGGAAGAGGGAGAAGCAGGCTTCCCACTGAGCAGGGAGCCCGATGTGGGGCTCGATCCTAGGACCCTGGGATCATGACCTGAGCCGAAGGCAGATGCTTAACAACTGAGCCACCCAGGCGCCCCCCCCTTTTTTAAAGATTTTATTTATTTATTTGGGTAATTTATATGTTTCTAGGAATTTATCCGTTTCTTCTAGGCTTTCCAGTTTTTTGGCATATAGTTTTTCATAATATTCTCATAATTGTATACCTGTGGTGTTGGTTGTTATTTCTCCTCTCTCATTGGTGATTTTGAGTCCTTTCTCTTTTTTTCTTGTTAAGTCTGGATAGAGGTTTAGCAGTTTTATTGATTTTTTTTTTTTCCCCAAAGAACCAGCTCCTGGTTTCATTGATCTGTTCTATTGGTTTTTGTTTCTATATCATTTATTTCTGCTCTAATCTTTATTATTTCCTTCCTTCTGCTGGTTTTAGGTTTTATTTCTTGTTCTTTTCCTAGCTCCTTTAGGTGTAAGGCACTCTATTGTTTTGGGGGTTTTGTTTTGGTTTGTTCTTACCTCTATTTCTGTGCTAATCTTTATTATTTCCTTCCTTCTACTGGCTTTGGACTTTGTTCTTTCCCTGTCTCCTTTAGGTGTAACATTAGGTTATTTCTTTGAGAGTTTTCTAATTTCTTGAGGTAGGCCTGTATTGCTATAAACTTCCCTCTTAGAACAGTTTTTGCTGCATCCCAACAATTTTGGACCATTGTGTTTCATTGGTCTCCATGCATTTTTTTTTTAATTCCAGTATAGTCAACATACAGTGTTATATTAGCTTCAGGTGTACAGTATAGTGATTCAGCAATTCTATACATTACTCAATGCTCATGATGATAAGTGTAATCTTAATCTTAACCCTTCGCTTATTTTCCCCATCCCCCCCCCTTCTTCCTCCCCTCTGGAAATGAACAATTTGTTCTTTATATTTAAGCATCTGTTTTTTGTCTGTTTGTTTTTGTTTCTTAAATTCCACATATGAGTGAAATCATATGGTATTAGTCTTTCTCCAACTGACTTATTTCACTTAGCATTATACCCTCTAGATCCATTCATGTTGCAAATGGCAAGATTTAATTATTTTTTTTATGGCTGAGTAATATGCCAGTGTGTGTGTGCGCGTGTGTGTGTGACATATCTTATCCATTCATCTGGGATGGACACTTGGATTGCTTCCATGTTTCTTGGCTAGTGTAAATAATGCTGCAGTAAACATAGGGGTGCATATATCTTTTCGAATCAGTGTTTCTGTTTTCTTTGGGCAAATACTACTGGGTCATAGGGTAGTTCTATTTTTAACTTTTTGAGGAACCTCCATACTGTTTTCCACAGTGGCTGTACCAGTTTGCATTCCCACCAACAATGCTTGAGGGTTCCTTTTTTCTACATCCTTGCCAACACTTTTTTGTCTTCATGTATTTTTTGATGTACTGTTTGATTTCTTGGTTGACCCATTCATTGTTTAGTAGCATGTTATTTAGCCTCCATATATGTGTTCTTTCCAAATTTTTTCTGTGATTGATTTCTAGTTTTGTACCGTTGTGTCGGAAAAGATGCATGATACAATTTCAATTTTTTTAAATTTATTGAGATTTGTTTTGTGGCCTAATATGTGATCTATCCTGGAGAATATTCCATGTGCACTTGAAAGGAAGGTGTACTGTTTTTGGATGGAATGATACATAAATATATATATGTATGTATATCTGTTCAGTGGAAAATCCTTCAAACCTATCTGAATGATCAGAAAAATACAGTGAAGGCAAAACAATGCTGTTTTAGTTAAATGTTACTGCCTGGCAGCTGCAACCTATTCTATTTTTGTTTAAAGAAATTAATTATTTTTAGGTATTAAAGACATTACTAGTTGGTTAAGCATATAAAGACAAAATGACAAGATACAAAGGACTGAAACAGAATTGAAAGGGGAATGACTTTCTCACTGTGAGTCAGTGGTATTTGCATCATTTTACATATTACCACCAGTGGGTATGGCCAAGAAATATGTACCATACCATGCACTCTCCCCAGCAAGCAGAGTAGGTGAGTTTTGAATTTGTTTTGCAGAAAAGCAGTGGATAAGGGTTAATATAGAGAACTGTTTTACAGTGGAGGTGAAAGTGGGACAGGGATTTCAAAGAATCAGTATTGCTAAACATTCTTGTTGATGAAGGCATGCCTGATCCCTCTGGGGGAAAATCAATTGACAGTGATTAACTTAGACCTGTAGTGTTTCTTAGTAGGATAATACTGACCTTTGGGGCCAGATAATCGTCATGCAGGAGTGTCCCAAATATGGGTATTTTTGTTCCTGGGCACTAAATGCCATTCATAATATCCACCCTCTCCCCTCCCCCATCATTGTGATAACAAGTTCCAGTACATTTCTAAATGCTTTTTAGGGGTGCCTGGGTGGCTCAGTCAGTTAAGCATCCGACTCCTTGATTTTAGCTCATGATCCTCAGGATTGAGAGATCCAGCCCCACCCCACATCGTGCTTGTGCTGGGTGTGGAGCCAGCTTAAGAGTCTCTCTTTCTCTCTCTCTCTCTCCATCCTCCTCCCCAACCCCACCAGCTGACATGTATGCGTGCTAGCTCTCTCTCAAAAAAAAAGTAAAAAAATTTAAAAAGGACTTTTTAGAGATGATGAAGTACTACTAGCCCCATCAGGGGAAGGTTGGGCAGTTTATTGTAAGCAGAGGGAATGACCTCTACAAATATATGAAAATAGGACTGAGCACTTGGAACTTGTCTATCTTTTCCAGAAGAGAAGAAGAAGCTGATCAGAGATTTTGATGAAAAGCAACAGGAAGCAAATGAAACGGTGAGAACAGGGAGCAAATCCTTACTTCTTCTACCTGGAGTTAGTCTTTTCCAGAAGTAATGCTTATTACCTGATCAGAGATTAACTGTTCCTGTCTATTGATCTTGATTTCGATTATTTCTTACGAAATAAGCCAATTGATGGGGTGAGTGATGAGGGAGTTTGACAAACACAAATGGGTAAAGCTTGGATACTGTCTTAAAATGACTCTTTGATATAATACATTCCTGATATGAGTAGTAAGTGCATTCTCAAACCTTTACCTGGGTGGTCTTTTAAAATTTCATTTAGGGGCACCTGGGTGGCTCAGTTGGTTAAGATCCAAGTCTTGGTGTAAACTGGGTTCATGATCTCCTGGGTCATGAGATTGGGCTGCATCAGGCTCACACTCAGGGGGGAGTCTGTCTGAAGATTTTCTCTCTCTGCCCCCCCCAACGCATGCTCTCTAAAATGAATAAATAAATCTTAAAAAAAAAATAAAATAAAATTTGGGGCACCTGGGTGGCTCAAGCAGTTAAGTATCAGCCTTTGGCTCAGGTCATAATCTCAGGGTCCTGTAATGGAGCCCTGTGCCAGGCTCCCTGTTCAGCAGGGAGTCTGCTTCTCCCTCTGCCCCTTCCCCCACTTGTGCTCTCTGTCTCTTTCTCTGTCAAATAAAATCTTTAAAAAAAATAAATAAAATTTCATTTAAAAAGCTGGCCATTGGGGTGCTTCGGTGGCTTAGTCAGTTGGGTGTCCCCACCTCTTGATTTCAGCTCAGGTCATGATCTCAGGGTCATGGGATCGAGTCCCAGTTGGCTCGTGCTGGGCATGGAGCCTGCTTGGGATTCTCTCTCGCCCTCTGCCCTTCCCCTGCATTCTCTCTCTCTCAAAAATAAAAAGCTGGCCATTAAAATCAGTTATTCTTCTTTTAAACTTACTAAATCACAAAAAATGTACCTCATAAGTGGTTGTAGCCACATTCCCTTCTGTTTTAAAAGACCTCTACAAAGACATTAGCAAAATTAACCAATCCAACTCTGGCCATCCCAGGCAGATAAAAATAATTCATGGTGTCTTGTGAACATGTCTGGGTATTACATTTTACTTACCCAATAAAATTGAAATCTGGTTTGGACCCCTGGTCATCTAGGACATGGAGACAGATGACTGATTTTCAGAAAGAAGAGGAAGGAAGAACCTTGATGCCAGACCCCTATCATTTTTAGTATAATAGACTTCAAAGTGCTTCATGATAGCACTTGAACCATAACAAACAAAAAATTTGGTATACTGAAAAGGGAATTTGAAGATTTGTGGAATCTTGAGCAGATTTCTTCAATTCTTATATATGAAATAGTAGTAGTATCTCCTACCTTATTGAGGACAGGAAAGAATAAATGAGGATTAAGATAATGTATATAAAAATGTTTAATAGGAAATAAGGTGCTTGTTAGTTTTTTCACTCACTTATCATATACTTTTTGAATGCCTGTTCTCTGTATGCTAGGCGCTGTGCCGGGCACTCAGAGAAACGAGGTCAGCATGTCACATGTGATCCCTGCCTTCATGGAACATATGCTTGAGTACTTACTTGCAGTTGTCTGCAGTTTGATTAGTCCAAACTAGGCATGTGCCCAGATGAGAGAGAAAAAAACCCCAGCCCATCTACTCACTACTTTCTGCCTTCCTAGCTGGCAGAGATGGAAGAGGAACTACGTTATGCACCTCTATCTTTCCGTAACCCTATGGTGTCTAAGCTTCGGACATACCGGAAGGACCTTGCCAAACTCCATCGGGAAGTGAGAAGCACACCTTTGACAGCCACACCTGGGGGCCGAGGAGACATGAAATATGGCTCATATGCTGTAGAGAATGAGCATATGGTAAGCTTCAGCTGTTTTTTTCCCCTTTAAGGACCTGTGGCACAAAAATTAGCCATGTTGTAGGGTACAGTTTATGTTATCAGTGCATAGTAGACTCTTGTTCTTTCCACCTGTTTCCTGCATCCAGCTCCCCTTCTCCTCGTCGTATTTAATGCAGATCTTTCCAAACCATGCTTATTTAGATTTCTTTGTATCTTTTATAAAACAGTGCTTGGTATTTAGTGGAGGAATATAAGTGTTACCTATTCTTACTATATCCGGACTTTGTATTCTGACCCATTGATCCAGTTTTTTACTTATGCTCAAAAAATTCAGTTAGGTTTTTAATTTATCCAGAGTATTGTTACAAATTAACCCAAGCTTTTTTTTACATTTATATCAAGATGGTCCAACAGTGGAGACATAGTAGAGAAGGCAGGATGCTTTCAGGAGGGAGCTCACACCTTACTCAGTTGTAATGGAAAGCCAGCCAGACTGCCTTTCTAGACTACAGTATTCTGATCTATAAAATTAGACTGATAGAATTGAAAATCTATATTCTCAAACTGTCTAGAGAAGCTGGACAAGTTCACAAAGATTAAATGTATTGCATTTGAGATTATACTCCACTGTACAAAGTAGAAATGGCCTGGCAAGTGGCCCGGCAAGCAGTGTGGGAGAGAAGTGGACGGGGGCCCACAAGTATAGACTGCACGTATGTAGAAAGGCTAATAGTGCAGGGTTAAACAATTCTGTTTCATGATGCATCCTGATTATGGTTCAGAAGACATTCAGATGATATTGGCCTGACATTGCTGATGTCAAAACTAGAGAGAATGATAGAAACTTTTCAAAATTCAGTTGTGAAGAGAGACTGGGAAAAGGCAGTCAGGTGGAGCTTGTTAAAGTGAGATGAGAGGTATAAAATGACTTTGGGCGTTTGTTACCAAAAATCAACAACAACAAAAAGGGGAGATAAAGCCAAACAATAATTTACTTTAAAATTACTAGGTTCAGAAATTATAAGGACAGTTTAGATATACATACCACCTTCAGTGGCATTATTGTTCCAAACCTGGGGTTGATTTATATGATCTTACTGTCTTTTCCTGCTCTTCAGTCTAATCAGTTAAAAATCCCTATCTTTTGGGGCGCCTGGGTGGCTCAGTCGTTAAGCATCTACCTTTGGCTCAGGTTGTGATCCCAGGATCCTGGGATTGAGCCCCACATCGGGCTCCCTGCTCAGCAGGAAGCCTGCTTCTCCTTCTCCCACTCCCCCTGCTTGTGTTCCTCTCTCGCTATGTCTCTGTCTAATAAATAAATAAAATCTTTTTTAAAAAAATCCCCATCTTTTATTTTAAAAAAAGACTTATTCTTTTAAGCTAAAGTAACTGGGGTTTATTTCATTGTCATTCAGTGGTTCCATCATCCACTGGTTTGTATGCCATATATGAAAAGACTTGTTACTTATCTGGAAAGTCAATATTTTGGTTTCTTAATGGTGGTATCTAGTGCTAGTGGTCACCTGTTTAGTAATAGGCCTTGTGAACCAACCCCTTTCTGCGTGTGTGTGTGTGTGTGTGTGAGTGAGTGCTTTGAATAGCGAAGAACTTAGCTGTACCCATTTGTCAGTGGTTAATTCCAGTTGACAAAGGCTACTTCTGTCATCATGCCTTCTGTGCTTGGGATTATAGGCGAAGTAAAACTGTGGCAGGGATTTAGAAAATTAGGGCACTTGGGAAATTAGGGCAGCTTACTTGGCCCCTGAGAGCAGTCACCAGTGTGGCGACTTCAGAGTTTTGTTTGACCTGGGTTGAAATTCTTTTTGGGTTTCTAAGACTGTAACCACTTAAGTGTCTTCCAAAATGTGATAGTGTTTCAAACTTCTCTTCTAAGTGATTTCTGTATGTGCTGCAAATGAATAGCTTATTCATGGTCCCTCAATCCTCAGTACCAGTCAGGTGGAAATCTTCAGTGAATTAATCTACTTCTGGGCTATGGAGTTTAGTTGGTTTGTTGCCCTGTCAACAGTTATAGGCTGTACGTATATTTGGGTAGCTCCTGCACCCCAAATCTGGGCCACTGCTTCTCAGAAGTTGTTAGTCCAGAAAGCACATGAAATCAGTTCAAATTCATCACGAACACAGGGGAAATGCTCTGATGTTTAATTCTTTTCTTGCCTCACATAAGTGTAAGAAGCAGTGACATGAGAGGTATGTGATCTTGTATTGGATTCTAATACTCTAATGGTTGATTAGCATCTTTTAAAGTCTTAAAAGTAATGAAAATTACGGTACATGCTATATCCCTTCTTACATCAGAAGGGTCATAAGTCATGTGCTGGCAAATGAACTTATAATGGAAGATGTCTAACATTTCCTTCCTGTCCGGTTCCCATCAGAACCGGCTACAGTCTCAAAGGGCATTGCTTCTGCAAGGCACGGACAGTCTGAACCGGGCCGCCCAGAGTATTGAGCGTTCTCATCGGATTGCCACAGAGACTGACCAGATTGGCTCAGAAATCATAGAAGAGCTGGGGGAACAACGTGACCAGTTGGAGCGTACTAAGAGTAGGGTAAGTCTGAGCGGATAGGGGAAAGTAGGTGGGCCCCTTATATCCTGATGCCTTGCCACTGCCAGAAGCTACGGCAGTTCAGAATTCAGGGTTAGGACCTCTTAGATGCTTACACTTTCCTTGGCTGAGGGATTTCTCTTGAAAGTAATTTTACCCTTTGGATTTAGAGGTCATTGGAGGCAAAAAAAAAAAAAAAAAGACTAAAGAAACCAGTTTCTGCATTTGTGGAAGATTGTCAAATCTAAGATTGTAGCCACTCTATCCTTCAATTCCTAGGGTACCAACCTGAGATTTTTCTCATACATCTAGTAGGATATTACGCTGTTCTTATGAAAGCACCATCTACTTAAACATTCCTAGTTTTTTTGTCCTTTAGATTCAAGGCTGTTTTCCACATGTCATAAAATAGTACTGCTGACAATTTAGAGGTTCAGTCCTGGACTGTATAACTCTGTTCTTACCCAAGGTAAGCTAGATTACTGTGGGAAGAAAATGGGAAATAACTTAGGCCAAATAACTATATCAAGGCCTCTGAAAAACACCTCATTTCTCCCTTTCCATACACCTGCATAGGAATTTTAAAAATAGTACAATTTGCCAATAGAATGTTACATTCTTAAAATCTTTAAAAAAAAAAAAAAAAGCATCCCTCCTGTTGTCTTAAAAAAAAAAAATTAGGCAAATACAAATTGAAGAACAGACACTGTCGGCAAGACTTGGATGACTTCTTCTGTGTGGGGATTGGAGATTTTCTCATATCCTAGGAGCTGCAGTTCTCCATTCTTAAATCAGAATGTTGCCCTTCCCTCCTCAGTAAAAATTCACAACCACTGAATTCCAGGTAAACTGTAGAGAAGGCAACTTGCTTACAGACTGTGTGGTTTTTGACTTTTGAACACATCAGGTAGATTGGTTGAATTTAAAAGCCAAGAAATGGGCTGAGAGATCAACTTACTTATGGCCACTGGGGTATGGGAACAGATGGCAGGTGGCATCTGTTGAAATATCCCCCAGCTATCTAGATATTAACAGGCAGTCAAAAGGACATAATTTTTAAACTTTTAAAAGAAGGATTCCTTTCAGAATTCCATTTGTCTGTAAGAGGGATAAAAAAAAAAAAGAACCAGATCCCAAAAGTGGTAATCCACCAGCCTACAAAAACAAAACCTCAAGGGGCTCCTTTGGAGTTTGGCTGATGAAATTCAAATCTGAAGTTGCCTCAGTTACTGGCAAGGTACACTTGAAGCCTTTTTTTGTTTTGAGTAGCTAAGGTGAAGGATTACTTTGGTCCCAGGAGTTCCCCACAGTAACCTTGGGGTATAATAATTCCTAAGCCTACTTATCCAGTACTAAAGTATCTCGTCCTTTCCAGTTTCTTCTGCATATACTCGGGCCATCATTCAAAATGGTTTGAGAGAGTTTTTCAGCACACCCCCTTTAGTGCCCACTGTCAGTTTAGAAACCTCCAAGTTCTACAGTATGTACTTTTAGAAGGGGGGAATAATTGCTGTTTTCTCTTCTCAGCTGGTAAACACAAGTGAAAACTTGAGCAAAAGTCGAAAGATTCTGCGTTCAATGTCCAGAAAGTAAGTTTTCAAAATGGAGTTGAGAAATTTTGTGACTAAGACATTAAACAGCGACTTGTAAAGGTCCTGATAAAGCAGAAAGAATAAAGTATTATCTTGTCTAGTTAAATATCCCAGGACAAAATCCTTTGTTAAAAGTATATGCTGCCCTGGGGCGTCTGCCTTTGGTCCCAGGATCGGGCTCCCTGCTGATCAGGGAGTCTGCTTCACCCTCTCCCTCTGCTCCTACCCCCACTGTGCTCTCTCAAATAAAGTATATGCTGCTCTGACTTGGAGCAGTGAGAAATTTGTCCACTTTGAATCCCAGCTTAAGATTTTTCAGAGCACATGGGAATAACAGAGCTTCATATTCCTTGAAATATATTTGTATAAACTTGGTTAGAAAAAAAACTTTTTACTGCTACGTCTTGGTACTTGCTTTTGGCTCTGCTTGTCCTGCATGGGAGTCAACCCCTTGTCAGGGAGTTCTGTCCTATTAGCAAAAAGTTGACTTTTTTTAAAAAAAAAAAAAAACCCGAAGTGGGTAGTATGCACAAAACAAAACTATAACCGAGCCATGGAACTAGTAAAAGTGAGATTTTCCTAAACAATGGTAAATGCCTTGTCAAACAGGAGGAAACCTTCAATTTAGAGTTAACATGAGAACCAGCGATTGGATTCTTTGTTAACAAAAGAGTAAATTTTTGAAGCTCTTATACTGCCTTTATAAAGATATCCATTTGGGTTGGTGGAGGAAAAGTAGTTAGTGGTATATTTCTTTTTTGAAATATGATTCAACCTGATTTCAGAAAATGATATTTTTCAGGACACCTGGCTGGCTGCATTGGTAGAACGTGCAACTCGATCTTGGGGGTTGTGAGTTCGGGCTCCATGTTGGGTGTGGAGCCTACTTTAAGAAAAACTATAAAAATATATATTAAATAAACTCATTTTTCATATTTAAGTAATCTCTAGAGCCAGTGTGCGGTTATCCTTAAGTTACAATTGAAAAAAGCTTTCAAGTTGTCACTTACCAGCTAAAGAACTGCTGAGTGGCTATGTGATTTAGAAAAAAAAGTTCAATCTGCCTCACAGTATCCAGCCTTGGCCACAGAGTCAAACTCCTAAGTATTAAGAATGGAAAGAAATAAGGTCACCCAGACTTCTGACTGTTCCCTACTTTGCTTCTCTTTGTAGAGTGACAACCAATAAGCTGCTACTTTCCATTGTCATCTTACTGGAGCTGGCCATCCTAGGGGGCCTGGTTTACTACAAATTCTTTCACAAGCATTGAACTTCCTAGAGGGAAGGGTTTGTGGACCAGAACTTTGACCCTGTGAATGGTCTTAGAGATGGGGAAGAAGCATAGTGCTGCTGTGAGGTAATGGTTTGAGGATGCCAGACTGTGGGAGGTAGGAGGGGAGACAGAAAACCGCATAACTGTGAAGGAACAGCAATGAGACCTGAAGGAACAGCAATGAGACCGGTATAATATACCAACATAATAATAAATGCTGTTTATGACTTCTTTAAATTTACATAGTATTCCAACTGAACTGCCAAAAAACACACAAATTTACAGTAGTATTATTGGTCACCAAAATGGAGAGGGAAAGGAAACTTTACAATTGTGAGAATGTGCAAGTGTTCTCATTAAGGCAATATTGACCCAGACCATTTAGTGTCTCAAATGCCTCATAATTCTGGAATGTCCTTCGTGACAAACATGTCAGCACACAAAATTTCCTAAATTCTCACACGTTCTTCCCTTTCTGATTCATCTGGTGAATTGGGAGTAGGAAGTTGGTCATAGACAATGTGCCCTCCCTCCCTTGTCTGCCCAAAACTTGAAGCAATCACATCCACTGCCAGGCTAGCTGTAGCCTTGGCCTCTTCCTCTGAAGCAGCCAGCTGAGGATTGACTTCAACAAGATCCAGTGCTGACAACAACCCTAAAAGAACAAAGTGTGACAGAACCTCAGAAGATACTCTAGCTGCTACTTTCAGTGAGGGTCATCCCACTAGACAGAACAAGCCAAGGTAAAAAGTCATTTTCTACTATTAAAAAATTACCCATTGTCCAGAAGCCCCTTAGACCTAACCCTCTTCTGGGCATGAATTTAAGTTCAAATACTGTATACTGGAGTAGGATTAAAATTTATCATCGCTGTTCAACTAACTTAATAGGCATCGCTGTCAGGCTTTCTGGATAAGGAAAGAGCTTGTGGGGAAGAGGTAGACAAGGGTTTTCCAACCTGCTCAGGAAAAGGTATGCCATGTCCAGTATTACTAGGAACCTTCCAGATGTCTGTATGTAGTTGTGTAAAGAGCTGTTCCCATTTTTGAACTCTTATGCTCTCTTAAGGCACCCCACATGCCCTAAGTATAGTTATTAGTGCATCTCTTTAGTCTTATCCCTGCAGGTCTGAGCTGAGGGAAGAGTTGGCCATACTTTAATTTGGACTTACCTTCTGTGATGGTTTAAGAACTTCTACTAAAGGGCTTGAGAAGGGAAGATTAGACCAGAAGAACCTATCCAGACCTGCCTTCTACTCCCCACCTCCAACACACAAGCTGAGGTATTTAACATTTTAGTTGGTTATTCTGGGTGAAGTTAATCTACCTCTTCAAGTCATCTGAACAAACTAGTATTGGAGAATACAAGTATCAGAATCCTTAGGGTAGCCATAAAGCCTGGAAACATGGGTGTATATACCTACTGGCTTATTGATATTACAGGGTAATACATGGTATCAATGCCATTATATCTCTTTAGTGTGCAATCCCTTATTAGCAGTGCATAGTCCAAGCATGTTACTGCAGCATTTCCACTGTGCAAGCATCTAGGTGTCTGATGATCTGTCTCATTTCCACTAACTAAACCTGAGTCTTTGGTGTATCCCAGAAGTAATCAAGAGTGTTTGAGCTATTAAAAACATGTAATTACCCATGTTTTCCAGACTATTGCCACCCTCTAATTTAAGCAAAGTGCTTTATATAGCTAGTTAAGTGTCATGATAGTCTTTTGGACTAGAATAATGTAGCAGGGGAGGGAGAGACAAGGTGTGATCACTACCCCATCTAACTACTAGATGTTACTAACCCCTGCTCGAAGTAGGGTCATTGGGAACCAAAATGGAGGATTGAACACACAGGTTCACTGGCCACTAACCAAAAGACAGCTGTAACATCTAAGATTGTGGGTCTGAGAAGGAGACTATCTTACCACTGTCAGACCTGATGAACCTAAGCATTCTTTTCCTTCCTTTAGTGCCTAAGGTTCCAGTAGGCTCCAGAGAGACCATTTCTCAATTTCCTTATCTATCCCAACCATTCAAGGGTTTCCCCGTAGCTCTAGACCTTTCATTGTGGGCTCTCTCTGCTGTTTAGACCCCAGTTTCATGAAATGGTATTGAAGTATCATGCGGTAGTAGTTTAAATTTTGCAAGGAAAGGTCATTTAGAATAACCTTCAGGAACTAGAAGCTTTCTGACGGAAATGGAAACTGCAAACAAGTATGAATGTGGGAACAGTAACCTGTGTAGCCATTCTTAATAATCTAGCACTCATTTTACTAATCTTTTGTCAACCATTCATCTTTAGTATCCCCATATTAAAACTCCTATCAAATAAGCTCTATTATAAGGCTTATCCCTTATGAAAAGACCCAAGATACTGTCCAGCTTTGAAATATCTTTAAGGTTTAACTCCACATTCTCAACTCCAGGTGAACTCACTCTTAATATGTCAGCTATACCAAAAATTATAGCTACTTGGTCTTGCCTTTTAATCTGAGTCTGCCTTTAGACAATTCAGATGCAAAGAAGTACATCGGTTTGGCAGGTTATTCTTGTACTTAGTATTTAAGTAGAAAATTTTTTATTCAGTACTACCTTAGCATATTTTGATATGAGCCAGGTCCAAACATGCCTCTAAATGACTATCCTTTATTAGCCTGACCATGTGGTTTTTAAAGTTTAAACAAAAAACAGTATCGGTAATGACATGGAATAGTAGAAAAAACCTTTGGGCATGCAAGAGGCGTCGGCACATTTACTCCGAGTGAACAGGTGGATCCCTTCTTACCTGTATTGTGTATTTCCTCAGTGATATACATGCCTTCTCGATAGGTCAGTCCCCCCGCAACAGGGGTTCCGGTGGCGGGAGCCAGGGTAGGGTCAAATGCATCAATATCAAAACTCAGATGGATTGGCCTTTGTCTTCTTGAGGGGAAGATGATACAAACAGTCATTTGGGTGTGCTTGGACATTGATCCTTCCTACAGTTGCAGCTCCTTGATTTTGTTGCTGTTAGTCCTGGTACTTTGCTAATACAGACTTTCAGGTTTCCTATTCTGGAAGTTATTATGTATTACCAAATTAGCTTCCTACACACCACCTCATGATTTTGCCATTTGTTCTTTGTGCCTTAGACTAACTCCAGTTTATATTTCTGACATAACCTAGGCATTAGAGCCTTTTGCATTAACAATTCTTCACTTCCCTATGAGACTGGGCTCTGACAGAGTCTAGCTTAAGTTAGACTGACCTAGGTTATAGTTGCTCTTATTTTCTCCGTGTAAGAGCAGCTGAACTTAATTGATTTGGTGTCTGTAATCTTACCTCCCAATTCTAACTTCAGTTTAGCACCAAAGTAGAAACTAGCATACAACACATATATGCTAGATAACTAAAATTTCTTACAGCTTAAGAAATGTAATTGCTACCTAGTAGTATGCCATTAATCACTTGGAAATAAAGACTCAGCACTGAGAAAATGCTCTTAAAACTAGCTTTTGGCATTTATCTGCCATCTTTCTATATTACCAAGATTTGCTCAATATAAAACTTTCAGATGAAGCAACAGTGAGGAGGAAGGGAATAGTTGAATGAATGCTTCCCATCTTCAAAAGATGGGCAGTAAAAATGGAGCTAAAAAAAAACTCATGAGACACAGAGGAGCCAGGCAATGACTTCAAGGAAAGCCCCTCCCAACCCCCGAGGAAGAATAGGACCTATGTTTCATATTCTCCCTTTCCAAATTATTTGAATTTTTTGTACGTGCACATATTTTGCTTTTATTTTAAAAGAAAAGCTGCTATTCTTAAAAGATAGGCTAAAGCGTGCTGCTCCTTGAGAGTCTGCCCTATTCCCTTTGGGACTTTTCCGTTTGGAAATAGACATCATAAGTTACTTACTTGCCAATTAGCAGATCAAATGTCTGTTCCATGACCTTCTGAATACCAAGTCGATCTATGTCTCTCATGGAAAAATACTGGATATCATAATTCTTTAAAATAAAACTGTGTGAGATATAAAGGAAGGAGTCCTTAGTTTAAAAACATTTTTAATCAAATGCATGTTGGGGTGGGGGTTTGTCCTGTTCGTGACCTACAAGAGATTAAGGCAAGGAACAACCTATCAAAAGGAACCTAAATGGCTGGGACGGACCCAATGCTTAACCCCAGTGTATCAACTTACTGTTCAGGAGGGTCCACATCTCTTAGACCAATATACACAATACTTGGGGAAGAGATACAAGGTTTGATCCAGGAAAATCCTGGGAGTTGTGGTACCTGTCAAAAGAGGAATGGACAGGATTCAAGGATTCTTGGTCTCACCAAGATAATCACCATGTGCTTCCCATTGTATGCAGTCTGCTTTCTCCTACCTACAGGATATGCTTAATTAACACAAGACACACTTGATCTGGGAAAGAGAACTTATAAAAGTGGAAGTGATTCAGAAGGCAGCTGAAGAACAGATTTCTCAGAATTAAAAAAAAAAAAAATTTCTCCTAAGGTGGCCACGGTTTCTCATTAACTTACCTAAATAACAGGAATACTGCTGATTAGCCCTTTTCCACCCCTTTGTACATTACTGAATTGTTTACACATTGGTTCTTGAAATACAACCCGGTTGCCATCTTAAGTTGTCTACAGCCAAAACACAAATTCTGCCTAATGAATAACTTTTGTACTATCCTGGTTTGACTTGGTCCCTCACTGAGGGGAAGGATATACAGATTCTAGTCTATGCCTAACATGGACTCCCATGTCTTCTGAACAGCCTAGGAAAATAATTACCTAGAGGTAATCATGGTTTTGCTTTCCTCTAGACCAATGGGTCTGAGAGTGAGGCATGCCTGGGAGCCTCTAACCAAGAAGTCCTCCTGCTGTGGGTATATCAATCACTAGAGTTACCACCCACTGCCACTTTCCTTTCTTGCAAGTTATGACACACACACCCTACCCTCCTTCCACCCCCCCACCCCCCCCCAGAGCAGGCACCATGTCCTCGTCCTCTTTTGAGCCCTAGCATTAGTAGACTGCTTGGCCCATAATGTTTGATGAACAAATGAAGGAATAGTAAAGATTCCTACCACCACCATCAGCCCATCCTTCATAGAAATCTTACTGAACTAGTTCTTCAGAGCCCCAGCATAACCCCTGCAAGCCATTCAGCCTTTTCATTTCAGCCCACTGACCTTGTCCTGTAGTTCTCGGAGGAGAAATGAAACTGGCTGTCCATGGAGATTTCCAGATGAAGTGGT